CCATACACCCATATAGCTAATCGCTATCTATCGCTCCCACATTCCAAAATAAATGGAAACCAATGCATATTGTCATGACAAATATTATTATGCAAAGGCAACTTACATGTTCTCATATACAATCAGTATAAAGGCACATCCAAGCATATAGCAATCGATGCACAATCACATCAAAGGAAAAGAGTTACTAGCTTTTGCTTTTTCTTCCGTACTAACTTCCCCTTGCTTCTTCCTTGGCTCCCTTTTTAATGGACTTGAACAAATATCAAATCCTATAAATTATATACGGAAGGGCAAATTAATATTTATATATATATAGATCATTTATTCTTAGGCTTCAAAAATAAATCAACAACCTTGAATATTCAAGGTCCTTAAAATTTATAATAGCAATAGTATTTCTTTCATACTTTTATAAAATTCCAGCTTTATCAATATCATTCTATCTCCTACTTTAATGTCCCCTAGTTTAAGATTACATTTCCTCTTAAACCCACTTGACCGAAAATACTTCCCCATTTATACATAATCAAATCATTGCCAAGTGATTTAATTTCAGCTGCAACATCCCAATATTAACATCATTCCTCCATTTCGTAATATATGGATATCTTTTGCCCCTCTAAAATGCTCATTTTACTGTAATAAAATTTAATCATTGTTCACAATAAGGTTGGTCCACTAACTAGAATAATATTCAGCATTTGAGAAGACAACCCAATAAACTTCGAATCAGATTTTAGTTCTCAAATTCAACAATTCCTCCTCTTATTAAAATTACATATTTAAAGAATAATCACTTTCCAATCCATGTAGCATTCAAATATTCAAACTCAATTTGCCCCTTTCCTATCCAGCGGTTTTTAACCCAAACAAAATAATAACTCCCTCTTCCATTAAACCATACAGCCTTCACCCCAAAATATTATGTAGCACTATTTTATCTTCATAATCATACTATCTCTTTTTCATTTTCCTTTCAAGTATGGAGGCCACGTATCAACATAAAACATTTGGAATGTTGGGTCTGAAGATGTCTTCGAGAATGTCATTAGATTAGAATCAGCCCAAGAGCAATTTCCTATATATGTGGGTTATAAAACTTGTCTTCAATTCCATCAATATTCAGCCTTATACCCAAGGAAAGAAAAGTCCGAAGCTAACCCCCCTGAATCACCCATCCCCTGTTTCGGCAATCAGGTACCAGAAAAAATGAACACAAACAGCAGCATAAAAGTGCAGGAATACTCTCGCACAACTCCAAATTTATGCTTCGATCAAAGCTTTCATGTGATTCTTGAATTTCTCTCCCTAGGGTAGGATTTTTATTTATTTCTTCCGCTCCCATAAAGTCCCAATCAAAGAAAACAAGGATAGAGGAAGGCCTAAGGGACTCACCTTAATTAGAAAAGCACACTTACATGCAAGAAAAACACCTCTGATTCTTTCTCCAGTAGTTCATGATGATTCGTCTTCCTCTCGCCCCTTCAAGCTCTATATGTTCGTTCTCCTTCTTAGTCAAGTCGGCAATAGAGGAGAATGAGAAGGGAGAACGTGTTTTGACAGATTAAAAAGGATAAGGGACGTGAAATGACCATCATGCCCTTTGGTCTTCATTTTCTTTTAATTTGATCCTTCTCTATTTTTTTTTTCAAGATAGTCAAATAATTCCATAAATCAAACCTGGATATTTTATATGGATTTTCTTCTTCCATTAGCTTCTTTAGTCCATAAAATAATTATCCTAAAAATCTCAGCTTAAAAATTATCCTCTAACTATTTTTCCAAGAAAATAGGTCCTAAATTCCTAAAATTAACTTTATAATTATTCAAACCATATTTGAAAGGTCTTAATCTCAATAATTTCTCTGAAAATTTATCCTTCAACATGGTTTACTCAAATTCATAAAATTTGGGATATTACAGGTGTGAAGTCCCACATTGGCTGGAGAGGGGAATGAAACACACCCTATAAGGGTACGTATATACATTTGGTATCAGAGCTAGGTTCGGGTTGATGTACCAGGGAGAACGCTGGGCCCTGAGAGGGGTGGATTGTGAAGTCCCACATCAGCTAGAGAGGGGAAAGAAGCACGTCTTATAAAGGTGCGGATATCTTTCTCTTGCAGACGCGTTTTTCTAGTGCTTACAACTGCACCCAAGGAAACAAAATCGTGAGGTGGCTACAGCTTCACCAAAGCGAACAATACCTGGGAGCGACACGTGGGACTCCATAATCCACCCACTTAGGGCCCAGCGTCCTTGCTACCACACCGACCCAATGTGAGATTTCATAACAAAACCATGAGGTGACTACGGCTATATCAGAGCAGACAATATCTACAAGCAATACCTTGGGGTGGCTACAACTATACTTTGGTACTTGAAGACATTACAATTTGGTATCAGAGCTAAGTTTGGGTCGGTATGCCAATGAGGATATTGGGCCCTAAGGGGGTGGATTGTGGAGTCTTACATCAGTTGGAGAGGGGAACGAAGCACGCCTTATAAGAGCTGATAGCCCAATCATAACTCAACTCTTATAATATGATATGATTTATTATATCACTTGTAAGAACTGATGGAAAGAAAGATCAAGAAACTCTTCCCACTTTTAACCAAGAAAGTATTGTTTTAAAATACAGAAAACTTTAAAATCATTATGCTCCGTTTGGATAGAGAGAAAAATTGGAAGGAAAGAAAACGGGAGGAGAGAAAGTAGAGAAAAGAGAAAACTGGAAAGAAAATATTATCACCTTTTTTGTTTAGATAGACGAAAGAAAATAGAGAAAAAAGAAAATAAGCAAAAACATGAATGACCAAAATATCCTTATATAGAAGAATATATCATATTTAAAATCAAAATCAATATTAGAATAGCAAAATGATATTAACGTTAACATGATCAAAAAATTTATAATCAAATAATTTGATAAACATATAATTTCATAATTTTGTATTTTAAACCAAATAATTTTAGAGAAAAATATTATTTTTGAAGGTTACAAAGTGGATAATTTTTAAAATGAAATATAATTAAAAGAAGTATATAAATTAAACATGATCCAATATCTTCGAAACCAATGTCATTCCAAATCCAAAATAGAACCATAGCAAAAACATTCCCACAATAATAAACATGGATAAGAATCAATCTTGAAGAGAGAGAAAGCAAAAGCATCAAGTCAACATCAGGGAACTAAAATTATCTCCCAATTCTATCAACTCAAGCAGAATTGCAGGAAAACCATGAAATTTTAGTAGCAGTAGTACAAAGGAATTATTTTCTCTCCTATCTCAAACGTGAAATCATGAGGGACACGGTCCATGAATTAGAATGGTTGAAAGGAAAAAGAGTAGAAAATAAAAGGGAAAAGATGGAGTAGGGATAAAAGGAAATATTCACCTGATAGTCGAAGCAATGATGGAGCTACGATGGTGTTTTGGACCTAGCCCTTGCGTTTGTATTAAGAAGAATGATTTTGAGTGGAGTTTAGGATGGGAGGCACGGCTAGGTACGTGTGCAAATTTTCAGAATTAAAAAAAAAAAAAAGGAACACACAAAGGAAAAGGGGCAAGTACAAAAAAATAAGTTTTCTTCCCATTTTCTCTCCATATGTGGAGAGAAAAGTTGGAAGAAAAATATGGTGGGTCCCACACCTTATTTCTTTCCAACTTTCTTTCCTCTCATTTTTCCTCCCCCATCCAAACAGGAGAAAACACACTTCTCTCCCTATTTTCTTTCCTAGTTTTCTTTCTTCTTTTTTTCTCCCCATCCAAATAGGGAGTTAGCAACGACACATAAAAGTATACTGACAAATATCTTCCTTAGTAAAGTACCAGACGCCTAAACTCATGTCTTCTTTATAGTGTATATATGTTCAATAATATATTGTTGGTTAGAAAGATGAAAACTGAGTCATTCAGCAGATGGATGCTTGTGATGTATTTCAAAAACAAAAAGAAGTTTTGATGGATACACATTTCCTCCACTGCTAAATTTGTAATTTTGATGACAGCGCTGCTTCAAGACGTGTTGAAAATCATGCATATTAAAATCCATCTATACTTAACGTACTTGGCAGGCATGGTGGGATCTCCCACTGTACAACTGATAAGATGAGAAAACCTAGAGATGGAATTTCACCGAAAAGAAAGTAAAGCTTCCATAAGTATTTCTCAGGCAAAATCCCTTTAATGTTTGTGAATAAGCTATGGTTTTTTGTCTTGAGATAAACAAAGAAATAAATCATTAGAAGGTGATTGATTGTGGGGTGATGTTTGAAAGTTTTGAAATGTATCATGAAAGAGAAATTTCTTTTTTGGATCTAATCGCACATTTGAATGAGAATCTACATCATGGGACACCTTTCATGGCATGATGGATTATGTCTTTGATAGATAAATACTATCTCATATATTTAATATAGAATTCAATAACTAATTTATCAAAATTAAATAAATTAGTTAAGTTGGTTAATTATAATAAATGAGTTTTCTTTTTTCTAAAATGCCATTGTTAATGTGCATTGGAACTACACCTCTGCAGGATTATTTGGGGGAGAAATAGATAAATATTGAAAAAAATAGATTTGAATCTTTTATTTAGGATCAAATTAAATTTTCATTCAGCTCTTATATTAAGGACAAGTAGCATTACAACTATCAAATTTTTTGAAATGCATGGAGTGCTAATTTTATTTTAAAAGTAGCATGGAATAAAATGAAACGTTGGTAATTTTAAGTTTCTTATTTTGAAAAATAAGAATAATTTTAGTTGAATGAAAATAAGCCTAAATAAATCATATCAGTCCCTCTTTAAACAAATGCTCAACTTAGAAAAAGGAAAAAGGGAAATGTGGTGGGTGGTGGGTAGCTTCCTAGTTCTCCCATGTTTTTCTCTGCCACCACTTTAATTTGAACCCTTCAACGAACAAGCTTGTAATCATTACCATATAATTAGAGTTAAGAGATTAAACAGATTGCACGAAAGCTAAGAGATGAACATGAAATCTGGGATCATTCTTCTGCTAGTTTTCTTCCTCTTTGTGGGGGTCGATTCAAAAAAGACTTCTCTTAAACGTAGTGATTTTCCTGAGGATTTCTTATTTGGAGCTGCTACTTCTGCTTACCAGGTTTCATTAATTGATTATTCCATTAATTACATTTCTAACTGTTTGATTAATATTAGTTAATCTGGTGTACGTGATTATTGATATTAATTTCTTGTGAGAATTAAGGTAGAGGGCGCAGCAAAGGAAGGAGGTAGAACCCCTAGCATATGGGACACCTTCGTTCGACAGAAAAGTAATTATTCCAATATCACATTGCCTCTTACACAATATTCTTATTTGTTTTACTATAATGATTAATTAGCTTTGAAACATAACGTGTTTTTTTGTTCATAACCAAATGTCTTTCTTATTAGTTTTTTGAGATCAATCACGTTCACGTTCCTAACATTTAAATCAAAATCCCACAAACTTCATTATGAACGACTTAATGATTTAATTTTGAGATTATTGACATAATGTTTACGTACATCTATCATATCAGATAAGATAAGTAACTCTAGCACTGGAGATGTTGCTGCCGATTCATACCACCATTACAAGGTACTTAACTAATTTTGCTGCACACACACACACACACACACACACACACATATATATATAATTATTTATTTTTTTGAATTATATATTATGGAAATTTGAGAAAATTAACACTTTTTGCAGGAGGATGTGGAATTAATGAAGGACATAGGGTTTAACGCATATAGATTCTCTGTCTCCTGGAACAGGATACTACCTGGTGATGATGATGATGAGAAATTAATTAAATATATAGTATATAATAATCATTTTAAATTTATTGCCATATAATATCAAAAATTTAGATAAACAAAACTAATTAACAGAGAAGTTTTGTCATCTCAGGGGGAAACCTCAAGGGAGGAGTGAACAAAGAAGGCATCGCATATTACAATAATCTTATCAATGAAATTAAGGCAAAGGGTTTGGAACCCCTTGCAACTCTATTCCATTGGGATCTTCCTCAATCCCTTGAAGATGAATATGGCGGATTTCTGAGCTCCAACGTCGTGTAAGCATTTTCGTTGAATCTTGCTTTCATCACTAATATATTCCCTTCAGTCTATAATATTAATCACTTTAACTAATTCATCAAAATCAACAAATGATGATAGTTAACTCGTTAAATATGTCTCAGATTAAAATTTTATTCCAATTTTACCCATCACGCTAAGTGAGGTCGTGAAGGATGAAAAGCACAAGGAATCAAGTTGAAGCATTACTTACACGGACAAAATTAACAGATAAACATTAACTACATAATAGTTAAGTGACTTATATTGTGAAACGGAGGAAGTACTCATGATAAGAACCTAATAAAACTAATATTAATCAGTAATTAGATTGAGTTTGAGGGAGA